CTTTTTGCAGCTTGGGAAATTTCAGCCTTGAACAACGCTACGTTCAGGAACTAATATGAGAAACGAAACGCTTCAACAGTACCTGCAATCTTTCCAGCTTGGCCACCGCCCTCTGCTTATTTGCGAGCTGTTCAAACTCTCCTTTTTCGTGAAAATTGAACATTTTACGTTTCCTTTCAGCAGGTCGCGCCACGATGCGCGGATCCACAAACTCTAAGAGCTCATCTTCCTAAAAAGGGAGACAGCATCAAATTCTTGTGAGATCAAAGTCATGGTAAAAGTACCGGTTCCTCCTCGCGTTCTTTTAGTATACCAGGAGCGATGTCGGGCAATGGAGCCATCACTGGCGCATTGGGCCGCACCAAAGAGTAGTTGAGGTAGCTCCTTTCTGCAGGTCGCGCCACGATGCGCGGATCCACAAACTCTAAGAGCTCATCTTCCTAAAAAGGGGGACAGCATCAAATTTATATGAAATCAAAGTCATGGTAAAAGTACCGGTTCTTCCTCGCGTTCTTTTAGAATACCAGGAGCGATGTCAGGCAATGGAGCCATCACTGGCGCATTGGGCCGCACCAAAGAATTGATAGTTGAGGTAGCTTTCGCAAGTTTAGCCTGGAGAAGAATATCCTCGACAAAGATACACGCAAAAAACTCGCCATGAATGAAAAAGTAACGGAAACTCACCTTCAATTCGTCAACTCGACTTTTCTTATTCATAGATGCTTGGATGAACATTTGAGCTTCCTGAGGTCGCAAGGCAACATTCTTTGCGGTCAAAGGTGGAACAGCAGCGACTCCAATAAGAGTTTGTGAAGCTGCCGCCAAACCAAGCTGACGTTTTCGCTCTTCGATTTCTTGTTGAGCTTTATACATAAGTTCTTTGGCTCTAAAAACTTATATTCATACTTGCTGAAGCATTTACCATAAGACCACCAAACCTTAAGGTCTCCTCTGTAACAACAACATTTCGCTTGGCTTCCTCTTCCTCCAACTTCTTTTGGTACAACTCCTTCGCCAAATTTTTCAATTTCTCTTTCTCTTTCTCCTGTAAAAAGCAATTTGGAAGCATCCAATATTTCATTCATGAAAAAACACGACGCTACATCTGCGTCTTGGACATACCTTTTCCAGCTCCTTTTTGTTCACTTCATCGCGTCGCCGACGTTCCCTCTCACTTTCTTTCTCTTTCTCCTTATCCTTAGCTCTACTCCTTTCTCGAGATCTGTCTCTATGACTGTGCTCCTTTTTACGCCTTTTCGAATCATCCTTGTTTTCTTCAAACTGAAAAAGAGGGCATAAAAGCAAACGTTTCTGCCACATAAAAACATTACATCAAGGACCGAATAGACTGCACCGTCCCCTTCGCTTAAGATCTTGCAAATCAAATGCAGAATTATCCGATTTTTGAAAGTGAAAATGGCAAGGAATCTTGTCAAGTTATTTGTTGCTTATTAAAATAGTCTCCAACTGGTAAAGACAGTTCGATTTCAGAATTGCTTGAGAACGCATCACTTGAATAAACTCATGCGAATGGGAACAGACCACTGCAAGACCTTTCTAGTACATCATTACGAACCACACAAAAGCTGAATTCAAAGGATTAAACTCACTTAGGATTACGTTGGTTACTAATTAGTGCTAAATTCAAAAATATGAATTTGATAACATTTCACAGCGTTTTCACATCGTTCGTTGGTGACCCTCTACTTCTCAACACATCGGCCTTGATTTCATTATCTTACCGAACAATGAAGCTGCAACGGAACAACAAAAACATGATCATGCAAGCCACTTGACTTCAGAAAAATTCCCATACTAATTAAGAAATTAGCACTGAATTCCTCAGTATCATGTGAACCAAAAAGAGAAGGTCAGGTTGATTTTGAAGCAATCTTTGTTAACAAGTCAAACAAGAATAGAGAAAAGATTTCACTGGTAGCATAATACAATTAAAAGAGATAATTGGATGTTCTACCTTCGAAAGGGAATCAAGTAGACATTTGTGAAAATTCATATAACGCACAAATCTTTTAGAAAGTTGTTATGATGTGAAATCATAGAAACCAACCTTAGTTCTTTTGCGAAATTGTGGATATGCTATACATATTGCTGAGATAACTTTGTGCGCTCGATGAGAGTCCGCTATAGCTTCTAACACACGGTCCTGAAAAATTCATCCACTATGAAATGGCATCTCCAGACATCCCTAACATTAAGGGATCAAAAAAATTAACTTCAGAAATATTTCGCTGAAATCACAAGTGAAGATCATTCAAAAAATGCGAAAAACTACCTTCATTTTATCGTAATCGTATCCTTTCCTTAAGCACCTTTCCACCGCCTCTGTCACTTTTTGTTGTTCTTCTCTGCGACTGAGATACCGATCACATATTTCTTCAAGCTCACCGCGACCCATCTTTTCTAATTTAAATTAAATCTGAAACAAAAAAAAANAAAAAAAAACACATTGGGCAAGACTGGAGGCAAATTACAATCAATCAGAACAAGTCAATCGATCATTTAGCAAAAAGACAGAGAACAGAACGGAGCGTTTGAATGATCATTGCACAATTGAAAACACATACAAAATTCCATAAAGAACCACAGAACATTCTGGAGACTTCCTTACTTCCGACAACTAGTAATGCTAAAGAAAAGTCAAAGGGAATACCTGGAATGCATTTGCGACCTTTCGAAAAGCTTATTAAAAATTTACAATACGCCCTAAAAAAGTCCTTAGCTTCCGATTCCAAAACAAGACGCGGCCTGTTCCCAAGTAAATGGTAAATAGAAAAAGCGAAATCCGCGCTACTCAAAACGCTACTCAGCATAAATAAACTGCGACAAGAAATATTTATAAAAGAAAAGTTATGTAGCCACCAGCAACTATGCTTCCGGGAGATTTGTTCGAGTAAAAATCTTGATTCGTGCAACAGTTTCGGATTGGAGCGCGACATTTCAGGCTCTCCGTTGCTTTTGAAGTTTGCATTTCAAAACTACTACCTGCTTTGTTGGAATCTATTTTATTTCCTTTAAATTCTTTATTTGCAGTATTTATGTTATATTTTTTAGTATTATGTGAAATAGTTCCATCACTCACATTCTAAGATCACGGGTAAGCGTTGAGTTGTTATTTCTTAGTTTCCTTAGAATATAATCAAGTGTCGCAACTGTTTTCGAGCATTTTGTGAACCTGTAGGTACAAGTTGTTCATAAAACTTTCTTAAGAAAGTCGTTAGTTGTGTCATCCTTAGTGTGTGTATTTCGACCGTACTTTTCTCTTTTCCCAGGAGTCGGATTCATGTCGATAGTTTTCAGATGCGGGACGGATCTTTTAGAACGCCGAGTTCGTTCACTGAAAATTTGAACAAAAACGTTCAATATTCGCCCTTAGTCCAAACAAATGCAAAGCGAACGTCAGCTACCACAACTAGGTAGTTAGTGAAAGTAACGAAAAAAGAATCAGTTCACTTATTCTCGCTGCTTTCCAGGTTACATAGGATCAAGTCAACACTTCTCCCATGGTGTATCGTTTTGACTGCTCTCATTGTTGAGGTATTCATTCAGTTCATTCAAATTCCTTTTCCCTGTTCTATTTTACGAAGTCCTTACCTTATTTTTTTGAAGATATTCACCTTTGGATCTTCTATTGGACAATTCCTTATTGGCGATTGGCTACCATGTGCTATAGTTGTTATCGTTGAGTATTGTTTACTTGTTTACGTCGTGATCGTCGCAATTTGGATAATTTATGACTTGTATAGCGTCTCTACAGAAAAAGGATTTATGCATGGTAGGTTTCCCATATAGTTGCTTTCAAGGTAGCCAACAACGAAGATTATCTACCCTGATGTATGCCCAAACTTGCTCAGAAGATTCAGTTTCACGTTTTCACTCTTTCAAAATTTTTATTTCAGCAAGTTTTGGTATGATACTGCCATCGCCTTACCCGCATTCGAAAATATCCAAACATCATAACCTACTGGATACTTCTAATCGTGCGGACTCGTCCTGGGTTGACGATCATCACTTCGGTAAAGTGGCAGAGGACAGTCCAACGCACTCGCGCCTTGCTTATGCTTCTCCGAATCGTAGGTGAGATCATTTGTCCATTTATCATTCGCGTCTCAGAGTTCTGAGCATAAGCGTTTTGCTCTCGAAGATTTTCCATTCTGCTATGTATATTCGAGATATCTTGTAGTTTTTTTTTAATTCTCAGAGACTTTGATGGAAATAGAAGGAAGCCCCATCCTTTCGCTAATCCTCAATGTAGACGTGATCAGATTTTGCTCAGCTTTTTTAGCACGTTGAATGATTCATTACATCAAATGAACGTAAGCACGGGTAGCTTGTTGGACTCATCGATGACAGGATTTTCTGGCAATGTCGTTAGATCTCGTCACAGCCCGTATAGCAAAACTATGGATAGTATTCACACGAGAGAGCAATTAGATTTCCTATTATCAAAGGAGTACGTTATTAATTAATTTGTTTCAAATTAATGGACTTTTCACTGAAACTCACCCATTCAGTAGTTCACTGCACATGGATCGATCTGCATCCCGAAATAGTTCATTTCAATATTTCAATGTTTTGGATATTGGAGCTCCTGAGGAACGCAGAGGCTATCAGCTCTCAGAACAGCTACAACCTTCTGATTCAAAAGAGAACAGTAAGAGAATTTCACGTTGCAGAAACACGTAGCTTATGTTCATGCCATCGATTTTCACTCTACGCTTTTGATCTTCAAGAACCAAATTTTTCGAAGTTCAAAGTTTTTTTCGTAACTATAATCTTATTTGTATCAAATAATTTTCTGCTATTGATCTCTGTCCGGTCGTTTCTTACTTATCTCACCCCCGTTATTAGAACTCTCGCCGATTTGAATTATTCAATCTACTTAAACTCAAGTAATTACTCGTTTGCTTCCAGTCGTGGTAAAAATGGGCCCAGGATCTCGTATCATGTTGTCTCCTGCAAGTAGCGAAGGTGATGGTCAAGATGAGATGACGAGGTTAAGACATGCATTGCAACATGCGAGGCATAGCCCAAGAAAGGTACTGCTTCGTGAGATTCTCCGATTACCTTCAGTAATTATTATACTTTTGAAAATGTAAACTGTATTGATAACGGTTGTTAAGACTGGCTCGATATTGCGACGTAGTGAATCCATGGAACGGCGAAGGCGTAGCTTGAGCCTCTCTTCTCCAGAAAGGCCTATTACCGCATCAGGATCGGGAACAATACCAGTTACTGCTGAAATTGATGCGAAAAGGTTTGTTTATGATTTAACAGTGACCATTTCGCTGAATAGGGCGGTATGTCAAAGTATGACGATGTAGATATCGTCTTTTCGCTTTTTCGCTTATTTTGTAATCTGAGAAAATGTAACGAATTCACCGGTCTTCCAACTCTTCTAGGTCTTCTCTGAGTGATGCTGAGCTAGCACGCTGCGAGCAGCGTCTGAGAGCATGGCTGGTGAATACAATTTTGGAACCTCTTAATCAGCGCATCAAGGAGACAAATGCGAAACTAGAAAAGGTGGGAATGAAATATTGTCGGAATTGGTTTTAAGTGTAGCAAGCCTTCCACTTGTACGGCTTTTGATGAACTTTTTGCATAGTTCAAGGTTTCATATAAATTGAGAAAGAGTTTGTCGAATGTTCCTCGATTTTTTAGGAACATGCAAGCCCTCCAATCAAGATAGGTTTCTCTTCTGTGGATGCACTTCAAGCTGCTATGGTTAATCGGCCTGAACTACTTGATACCATGCTCCCATACATACTACCTTTCCTTCATGTTCATAGTAATCAGGTGAAGAATCAGACCAATTCTTGTTCTGAGGGTTCACCTAAGCTCGAAATTTCAGAGCTATTTGGTTAGTCGTATCTCAGAACTTGCTGCCGACAAGTTTATGATGGACTATTGTTGGAACGGTGGTGGCAAAGAGCCAGTGCAAGAAAAAAGTACGTTTCCAAATCTTACTTGATCCTTCTTCATTGATTAGTTGTTTGAGGGCGAAAATATGCTAAAAATGCTGCCTAAAACCTAAAAATGCTTTAGCGTCATCCGGTCGAGTAGCACGTCGACCTTGGGGTGAACATTTGCCTACAGACGCAGTATTGGTCTTCTCACTTTTCTCTGCTTACATGGACAGCCAATTGACGTCAAACCCACTAGTCGGCTCATGCAGGTGCTTACAGGGAAACTCTTTGGATCAGTTACTTATAATGATTCTTCTACGGTTTTTCTCCCCTTTAAGGCTGGCACAGCCATTCTCGGCCGTATACACGCTGAGAGCTCCTCAAAGGCCGAACGCTGTACATTTGGCTGCTGAGAGTTTCTATCTTCATATGGTATGATTTCTAAATGAGATCAGCAATTCCTAATCGTAATGGCCTCCGTCTTCAGAGTAACTCCTCTCCTCCTCATTTCGATTTTGTTTTCAATGACACCGACGGATCGCCATCGCGTGCTGCCATTCCACGAGGAGCGAGAAATTTGTTTTCTGCGATCTTATCCTTCATTAACCATGCAAAGGTATTTCTTTGCTATCCACTACTTTGGAAAGCCTTTTAGCAATTGTATTCTCAATAATTTGAAAATGCCTATCACGATTTTGCGCTTTAATTCTGTTTTGAGTTTTGTTAGAAATTAATTACTCCTTGCTCCTTCCCACTGACCTTAACTTGCTCATTCTAGGTCAATAACGGTGGACGGCTTGATCGGATGAGCATTGGCCCTACAGGTCTAAACATTGCGTGTGTTTTGGAGTGAAAAACCATGCAATTGGCACGGCTCCTGGTGATATCCCCGTTATTTCGTTTACTTTGTTGGTGACAGTTCAGTTCATCAATTCAAGTTGAACATTTATGTGATTCATCTTGATAGGTTATTCTAAACTTGCTTGTTGATGTTCACGCGATTATCTCTTATTCTGATCTCTGTAGAAAATTCCCTTCATGTTGCTGCCTCATGTGAGAAGATGACAAATTTGATGTTTTTCAACTAACTACGTACTTGTATATCCCAGGATTTGGCTGGAAATCGAATGGATGAATTGAAGGGACATATTGGCTCAATCTGCTTAATTTATTAGTTGACCGGTCTTTTCAACTGCCGTAGGGTTCACTGCCTTTTATAGTCTACACCTTTTCGGATCCGTGCACGCTACGGGAGTATTTTTGAAACTATTTTGCATTGGCCATGATTGTTTGTGTTGATCTATGTTGTTAATTCAGCACATAAAAGTGACTGTTCTTTTGTAACGCTGTAGTTCTTCAAGATGGCCTTGAATGGAGCACTTAATTGTTTGATGCTTTCGATGGAGTAGGAGGATTCGGCTTTCATCGAAGGGGTTTTCTTAGGGTTCGAGGCTTTCAACTTTGAAAAATGGAATGCGTCACATCTTTAGACAACTGTTTAGAATCATATCGAAATTGGTATACATTTCTAACATGTGAACTTGCTGTTCCCGTTAAAAGCCCGAGAGTGGTTCCGGGTATGTTGAGGGCGTAATTCTAGTTTGGGAAGGAGTGCTACTCTTCCTTGATGGTAATGGCTATACAATTTCATGTTAACAAAAGTCTGGGAAAATCCGCCCAGGCGCCCTCTCAAGGTGGCGGTTTGTGTGCAACACCTGCCTTACTATATCGTTCCGTAATGGATCACTCCTCTTAATACGATAACCGCCTAACAGAGGCTGCCTTTGAGACGACAGTTAATTGCCGTATTAGGTGCCCTTCCACATTCGCAAGGACTGTGTCGCTAATCCGGTATTTAGCGTAAACCAAGAGGCAAGTAACTGAGAACCATTCAAGCTGCACCCACTTGAACTCGTAGGGGGCAATTGAATGATTTGAAAACCAAGAGCTGCAGGTGTATATTCTCGACTGCATAACGGATGTGGTTGGCGACGATATAATTGTTCACTGCAATTAAGCATGTGTCATGAATCACCCGAAACGAACGAGGTGACAGAGAGTGATTATATGGGTAGTGGTGCAATGCTTAAAAGCAGTTCAGCTCAGCAAATGGAAAAGAGTATTTCTAGGAGAAAGGAACTGGAAATGGCACAGAAAATCTACTCGTCTTGTGGACTGGTTCTAAAGAGCGATCAGGTGCACAAGAGGCTTTGTCCTTTGCGAGATCCTCAACTTGAGCCCGACCAATTTGATTATTTGGCAATGAGCATGTCCATGGTGCATCGTTCGCACCTTTGAATTTTTTCACCTCCTACCAGCTGATTGAATACTTGGTGTTGGAGATATTGATGATTTAAATGAGCTGATTTACTGAGCCATCACACAAGTCCCCGAAAACTTGTTCGGAGAGATATCTCAAGAGATCGAACCAAACTACCCTTTATTCTCGATCTTTTATTGTGATTTATTCCCTACTAACAATGCGCTCCATGCCAAAACGAACCTAATTGTAGGAAATTTTTTCTAACATCTCGTTTCTAAAATTTTTCTAACATCTTCGTGAAATCATTATATACCCACCTTCCCCGTTGAGAATTTCTCAGCACACCTCATCAATCACAAATCACTGGTTCCAATTTTACTTTCTTGATCTTTGACAAACACCAATACTGAGGTCCCAAGCGTTCCTCTGAAGCTCGGTTTATAAGCATTAATGGAGGCTATCCAACCTCACCCTGTGGAACAAGGTAGCTGACTGACAGATGACTGAAACAGGCTCATATATCTATAGGTCACCGATATGACACAAAAGAATATCGAAAGCTTACGGATGAAAGGGAGGAAATAAATGACCCTTCACAACACGGAACAAACCTGCACAGCGTAGCTGCATGCAGTGCTCATTCTCTCGAAATGGTAAGATTCTTATTGGGGAAAAGGCAGAGAGAGCGTCTAACCTTCATCAACTAACTATAAACCAAAGTATCAGGCAATTCGTACCGAATTAAAGAGCTGGCAGGACTCTTCCATCGAGTAAATAATTATAGCTCTAAGAACAATTGTAGTGAATGACTTATCAAGGTGTTTCAGATGAAATTCTCACCATGCGCAAGGAATTTGGAATGACAACAGGTAGACAGTTTATTTCACGAATTTACTGGAATCTCCACCATAAACTCCTTCTTCGAAGACGCCGAAACTTTCCCAGTAACACTCAGGTAGAAGTTTTATTCATATACACATGTGTTTATTCATAACAACTAATGTGCACTGCAGCACGAAAGCAGCCAAAGAATATTTCACAAGAAAACCCGCGTCACATTGAAATGGAAAAGCTCAGCTGCGCATACTGTCTCTAAAGACTGAGACATTCATCAGCCCATGTAGGGATTATATTGATAGGAAGAGCTGGGGCTATCAAAACTGCTGTCGGAACCGCCACTGAAGTCATACGGTGGCGGCTGAGGATACGCCGGTCCTGCTGTTGGCGATGAAAGATCCATTACTCCAGGTGACGTGGGCAACAGTAGAAGACGAGGTTGCACCTGGAAATAATTCCTTATTTTCCCATTGCGGTACGGTATGCACTATTGATGGTGCACCTTCAAAATGATCGGTCAGCCCAGAACGCAATGTTTTTCAGATTGATTTTCTTGTTGAAGAAATAAGCTCGTTCAAGATTACGTTTCCGGAATGGTGTAGTGGCAGAAGGCGCATTATCACATTCACATGGTCTAGGAATCGAATCCCGAATCGATACTCACGCCTACCAAGCCTTCCACCCTTCCGGGGTCGGTTACTCGGAACTAGGCAAGTCTAGGAGGCTGAACCACTGGCTCTACATCAACTGGCCACCGAAGGGCATTACCTAAGTCACATACACATTCCAAACGCCGCTATGCTTCTGAGTGGAAGTTGAATGCAAGGCGCATTCCAAAACGGGATTGGTCGGTGCCAAGCCCTATTCTTCATCAGTGTTCCGTCTCCGAGGTTATGGGTTTATTTTTACATTAATCGCTTCAAAAGAATATAGAATGTTTTAGGAGCGCATAGAGGAGCGTTTAGATCTAATGAATGGCTCCAATTAAGTTTCAGCCTTGTCACAGTGAAAAATAGCGCAGTCTCTGGGGATTTCAGCCATTCGCACTCTGGATTGGGGATAGAAGAAGAGAAAACCTGGCACGATCTTGAGTAGAATGATTGATGAGACCTCACGAAACTCTTTTTGCAGTTAGAGATCATTTTGAATATTTAAAAATTTTCGGCTGTATTTTCACGAAAATCTTTCTAAAAAAGTTCTCTCAACTGAGCTGACCCGAAAAATTTTGGAGTGGCATGAGCATGAAGATGAACCATCTTTCAAACATGCCAAATTTACAGTGGATAGCATCATGTTGTTCTAAGGAACCCAAGATGTGGAGCAGGGATAATAGACATGGTTTCATTATCGAAGAGATGGGAATCGACATTCGCCTTGGTTTACCCTGCCTACCATCTTTCCGAGGTCAATTTTATGGTAGTAAGCCGTTCTATGGGTAGTAAAGCATTGAGGTAGTAAAGCATTGTCATTCTCACCTGCTTTCAACGTCACTATCAGGACCGAACGAGCCCTCATATTGTCATCACTTGTTCTAATTTTTGAGGAGGAAAATGAAAAATGTAATCTAAAACTCGAGTTCAAGACTTTTATGGGCAATCATAGTGACTTGAAAGGTTACTAGGCTCTTTTATTTCGAGCCAACAACTCGGAAAATATTACTTAGGGTGAGTATGATGATCAGTCTTCATACTAATCAATCTGAGTAACGTCTACTATATGTATGCATGGATGAAGACCAAGATACGCTAATCAAATCTAGTGCCTTAGATGAAGGCTGAATGAAGAATTCCTTTAAGGGACCCCACCTGCAAAAGATTGGCGAGCATATTTGTGGTAGTCTGACTGAGGCCAATTGAAAGTTGGTGAGCGTATTCCAATGGAGTTGGTTGACGTCCGGTTTGAAGCATTCGTTGAAGTGCCATAATGTAGTTCCTGAAAAAATGCTACTTTTTGCGATTCAGAGGAGAAAATGATGGAGTTCCGGTGAAGGTATGGGTAAGCAGTGTCTCCTTACCTTGCCAACCTGAGCGTTTCGATTTTGCTCAGTTTCTGATGCTGGGTTGTGATGGGGACGTACTGAAAGAGAAGCTTTACATAAGACCTTCCATTCGATTTCCAAACTAACAATGCTGTCTGGGAAAAAGTAATGCCACCACTTAAATAAAAAAATGAAAAACATGTATTAATTATATACGAATAAAAATCAAAGCGTATATATATTTGTATAAGGTTGTGCAGAAAGAAACTGCCAA